TTTATAGTTTCACAGCCCTACCCTCTCTGCCGGTGGCTGTCACAGCCTGTGCCATAACTCAATTTAAGAACATCTCAACCAATTAGAGAGCAGGAACACATTCTAAAATTGTTTTAATGTTAGATAATACCTGGTCAACAATGACGTCAGAGGAAATGACCATTTCAAGGAAATTGTCCTTCTGGCGACAATAAGTTAAGTCAAACAAATGCAAGGTAATTACTTCTAACATGTTAGGAGATCTTTCTTAAAAAAGTTTCATTTTACCCAGCCATGGTTAAGTTTTCATGCATCGAGGCAAAAACTGCTTACCATATATTGAATTGAATAACAAATGAATGTAATTATGTCACAGTAACATATTCAATAACTTCATATTAAATTTTATAATAACATTCAAAAGTACAATGAAGTTTTAATGAGCTGTACACCTGTTACAAGTAGTACTGACTCATCAGTGACATTTATGTTTGTCTAGAAGTTGTCCTGGCATATATCACATATCAGGTATTTCATACATGTTAAAGTGGTGCTATAGATATACATGTACATTAAGTTTATTAGATACTGGTATGTTTATCATAGTTGTACCAGAGTCACACAGATATCAGAATATATGATCAAAACTCTGTAATAAGAGTAATTCAATTACTAAATGGGATATAGTTGGAACTTGATTAGCAAATGGATCTGCAGGTCTGTCTCTTGTGCAATTTATCATTGAATTAAGAGAAGTATAAGTGAAACCCTTCATGAAAATATCATAAATACTGGAGGGGTAGCGTTTGGAACTCCATCCCTGTGAAGCTACAAAAATTGTAGTCAGTGAATCTTGGTATATTTCTTGATTGTGACCTTTATGATAGTGGAGTCATTACTGCGTATAATCATATCTCGATGATTTTCTAGGAAATGTGTACGTTATATCAAGTTTATTATTAAAGGGATCTCGTAGAATCTACAGGAGTTTCTAGCCTAACGCATGATCAATAAAAACCTTAGTTATGTCACATAATATAGATTGAACTAGAACTCGAAATCCGGGTAAGTTCCCCGATGATTGATAATACGGTTGTTAATTTGAATGTCTAGTCGCTGCTTGTTTTAGTGAACTTGTCCAATTTTTAGTCGTTTATTGATTATGTCTATCTACTAAAGTGCGATAATATTTTCAAACATAATATATTTGAAGGTCTCACTATTTTCTGTTTCATCTGAATGAGAATAAATTGCTGTTTTATTAGCTTCACAAAAATAGTATGAAATAAAGAAATTTTCTCACCGTGGAAGAAATCTGATTTCATTTCATAAACATTATTTCATTTCATAAACATTGCAAAAATCAATCTGTGGCGTTGGGTCTCTATTCTATGATGTTTTAATGGCATCGAACCAAAATTCAATTCTGTTTCCTAACAAAATATGAAAGTATAAAGAAGTTTTCTTTTGTATTGTTTTGCTACAAAAGGAAATGCTATTAACGCACCTGTATGTCATGTTTAACCTATTGTTTTATCATAAATCACGATTTGACAAGTGATGATTCAACAATCAATCGTTAGTCCGTTTGTACAACTCCTACTATTTCGATCAATTATGAGCTTTTTATTCAGTAATTCTGAAATAGGATCAGTGATGAGGATATAATACAGTGTCAAATAGTGCGACTTCTATGACTGGATAATCCTTGAATAAAAAGTCATTTTGGATTATAAGCTTGTTTGTAAAGAGCTTTTTATTGTCTGACTTTAGAAATATGAGTCACAGTTGCAATATGTTGTCAAATCTAAAGGCAAACCAACCATGTAGTTGCATTGATTAATATTTCATGATTATAAAACACTTTCTCTGGATAGATTTTTTTATGAACTGTCATGTCATGATCAGACTAGAGGGCCAGTGACATATGCCTCATAAGCATTTTAGATTAATTTTCCTTGTACTTGCAGAAAGTCAGTAGTATGTGTTTTGGTTATTTAAAAAAAAAGTGTTTAACAATGAAGTATGGCTGCTGTATAAAGTGGTACTTTGTCATACAGGTTTTTCTTGTAATTAGCTTTCTTTCCATCTTCATGTGCTTCACCCATTTATGCATGAACTCAGATGGGTGGGGAAGTACAGGGTGATGAAATCCCACTCACTGATACAGCCAACTAGCTGCCTTTAGGATACAGCCATCACTTGGCTGGTAGATTTAGAATTCTGTCCGTTGAATTTGTACTCACCCTCATTAGAGTATACGAATGAATCAACAAAACCAGAAACGTGAAGTAAATAACATTACATTACAGATTTCTCTTCAATACTTGCCACAGTTAAAGTTACAGTGGAAAAAAGAATATAGCCTAGGTTCATTTCAGGAAAACTATTTGAGTTAATAGTACATTCTGTGGTTGGTCTATGTAACAAATGGCAGGTAGTAACATTTTGCATGTTAATACCCTGTTGTTATTGTTGTGGTCTGATAAGGTCATGAACAGATCTATTTTGTAAGAACCCTGTGATTCAACCTGCCAGAACAGAAGGCCATGTTAGCTCAGCTCATTAGGTGTGTCTGTATATGTAATACTGATAAAGTATCTCAGGTATGCTTGTAATACAGCATCATGTACATATAATGCTCCTGTTGGAAATACTGAATATATCCATCTCTTACATACCCTTACAGTGATCTCCACAGGATTTTATCTCAAGTGGGTGCAAAATTCTCATTTTCACAATTCAGACCAAAATTGGTCAAAATATGCGCATTTTCATAATTTTTCTCATTTTCAAGTGGGTGCAAATGGATTTTCAGGTGGGTGCAAGCCTATTTTTGAAATCTCAGGTTGGAGCTGCGCCCACTTGCTTTAATGCTGGGGAGATCACTGCCTTACATCCTGACACTTGTATAGTAATTACTGATTTGGATATTTAAACACATTTTTTCTGTTAAGAATCCTGTTTTCATGCTGATCTGAAGTTATATGACTGATCGCATAGCTATATTTTTGATCAACCTTAGATCAGGCTAAAGATCAAGAGATAATTGTTTCTTATTGAAAGAGATTGACATAGATGAAGATTTCGTTTAAAGACACATAAAACACTTTTGGAAGGGGTACTTCCTTTGCATATCATGGTCTCAATGGCTAGAAGCCAGGTGGAAAATGAAAAATATATGAAGGTTGACAGTGAAGTTTTGTTCCATGAAATATATATGGACATTTTGGACAGAGTGATGCATATAAAATATAAAGTTGTCATATGACTAACAAAGATACAGCCATCTTTATCAAATGCAAGATATTACCATAACGACTTTTTGATGCAATATTTGCACTTTCCCCAACTTATTATCTGCTGAACACCATTACTAAATTCATGGTTTTGCAGGCTATTAATTCCATACATTGAGTACTTATGTCATTTTTGGCATGGCTTACTGGATTTACAACCGGTATATTATTTTTGGCTGGTTTATGTTCTAAATCTATGTTTTTATACTGAGTTTTATTACTGTTCGGTATAAATATTTTGACCAACTTTGGACTTTTACATGCCTCTGGTGCTGAAATAGTTAAGAGATAAATTGTGCTCTTATAATATACTCAGACCTCAGGAGAAGCTTATGTTGAAGGTAAAGGAGATAAGACGAAACCATCAAAGATATCAGTGCCTTGGATGTTCGACATGATGGTTGGTTGTTTTTTTTTGGTTTTATTTTGCTATTATACTTTGCCTTTCTCACTATATACAATACTGTATTAGGAATGGAAGGAGCAAAAATTATATAGTTTCTTTGATATTATCTTTAATTTTTGATCATCATTGTCATTATTATCTTGCAGGATTGTGTCTGATGTTGTGAATATTGCATTGACTGCATTCTGATTCGTCTTATCACATTTTCTGTTTTGAAATTATCAATATCCTTATAGGAAGGAACTAATTGAAGGCTGTGATCTCTTAGATGTATTGACTATGTGATTAGTCTTTCTGATGTAATATACAGGGTTCAAATAAAGTGCATGGGCTCTACAAAGATCAGTGGTTAGATCTGGAAATTGGCAAACTAGGATTGGGATATCCCCATGATTTTTTTCTCAATAGGTGCTTTTTACCTGAATCTGTCATTTATCTCAAATACCAGAAGTGGTGACATATTGTTATATAGTTTCCACTTTTTTGTCTGCATGTGCAACAAATGGTAGGTGGTGACATTTTGCATGTTCATTTCCTCAACAGGGTTGGGTGTAATTTTCATAGTGGAACACCTGGTTACTCTAACTCTGAGAAGATCATTGGATGATGATATTAATGAGTCAACATTAAGGGTATAACATTGATTATTGAGGACACATACAAAATTATTGAATGTAAACATGAATGTATAGACTGATAATCTTTAATAAGGTATGATTGTTTTTGCATGCATCATTTTTCAAAGTATAATAGAGTATCACCATTTCATGTTATTCATTGAAGGATCCTTTGATATGTACTCATTCACCAGTTTCATTTTCCAATAGAGAGGTGTTAAGACTGTATTGAAGGGTAATGTAAGTTCATATATTTCAAGCAAATGGATTTTGTAGGCAGCAGGTGATATTTTAATGCATTTCAAGTATTTATATATTTGCTTTGATGTTCTGACACATCTGAAATTACATGTACCCGTAATAAAGACCTAGAATAATCCATCCAGGATAGATACTGATAGATAAATGACAGCTTAAAATATCTCAAAGGGTGCATTATTAGAGATTGATTTTGCCAAACCTTTTGTTTTACATATGTAGTAATTGTCATATTGATCAAAAAATGTATAAGAATTACTTCAAAAAATAATTTCAATTATTACAATATGTCTTCATCTTATTTGTGAAATCATGCATTATTTAAGGATTTAAGCCCTGAACTCGGTGCAATGTGGAATGACCATTCCTTGAAGGTGTTGCTTTGTCATATGTCATGCAGTGTTAGAATACTTATTCATGTCGCTGATTTTGTACTTTCAGGGAGTGAACCATCTGTAGCCAGTGACAGTAGCAAGAAAATGATCCTGAGTCAAGACATGCATAATGGGGGCTCAAACTCGCCAAAACAAAATGGCACCACAATTACCACATATACAGACACTACACCAGCAAAACTACCATCATATGTTAAGCTGAGTTGTGCAGTTAGTGGATATAATAAATACAATAGTTACGCATCACTGACTTTGTCCAACAGTGCGAACCAGGACTCTCCCCCTAGTTCAAAGATCACTGAACTGAGGACTCTGTCTAATGGGAGTACGGGTGGTAGCCCAAAATGTACAGATAATCTACATGTAGACCCACATAGAACTAGTGAACTGTCTAATAATGTAAATAGGAATAATGAACCTGATGTTGATGGTGATGACACATTTACCACTGGTGCTAGCTTAGATAGAGACATTCAAACAGAAGAACTGCCACAGAGGACCCCGTCATTAGATTTTCTCAGTGAACGATTAAAAAACCTTGGGGATAGTAGTTCAGTTAAGGTTTGTATATTTTCAACATTCTCTTAAATGTATCTGTTACCCATCACATATTCCTATCCCATATTGTTTTTATTGTATTTTGGGGATTGTAGTGTACTCGTATTGAAATTCAAATTGTATATTTTGGGATCCCTTATCTCAGCCCCACCTATCACTTTCCTAGTTCCATAGCATTGCATCTCCTGCGTTTGAAATAGAAGGGAGGGACAACATAGGAACTCTATGTAAAACAACCAAAAGCTCTGATGGTTACTGTAATATATTGGCAATATCCTAATGTACTTGCTTTTCATATCCTTGACCAACTACATTTTTATCGTCCCTTTTGAGTAATGGCAATGCTTAGCATAGCCAGATGCATCTTAATTACCCATGTTATTGATTTTTCTGCTGTTTCATTTTCACTATCGGCTAAATAGTTGATATGGGAAATCTAGATGCAGTTTGAGGGCTGTGGCCCGGGATAACATTGGCTATTGGCTAAGTGGATCATTCCGTTTATGTCCATAGACCATAATTAGTTAAGAGTACAAATTACTTTTCCGAGTCATTTCGGCTCCCATATTTGTTGATTACATTGAAATGCTCTTTCTGATATATTGTCTGATATGTTTGACCATTTTATATTCTGCTCATTTCCTGCATAAATAATTCATCTTGTGGAAATAGCATATTTTTCAACCACGCATTATTAGGATAATATATAGAATTCGTATTTTCCTGTGTTGTCTTGTAGATGTCATTGTGTTGAAAATATGATTTGTACAGAGTCATTGTATTGTTACTACATTAACCTAAATCTTGTCAAAGAGCAATTAAACTGGTCTGCAATTTGGACTTCTGACTTTGCAATGCAGCTCATTAATTGTTTTCAAGGATTCCTCTACACATTGCATTGAGTTAGGAAAGGGTAGCAGAAATTGATGGATTTGAATATTTTAGTCAATTTTTTTTCAAAAAAGGCATACTTTTATTTTCTTCAGATGAATAATGTTGTGTCTCTGTTGCTAAGAGCTTTTTGTGAAGAACGTTGCAGAACTTCCTGTATATTAAACACAATATTCTCTATTTCTACTTCACCTCTTACTAAGACCCGATCTTCAGACAATTGATCCCCATGAAATAAATCCCCACTAAGTAAAAAATATCCTTTAAGAATAAATCTCCATGATAATGAACTAAACTTGCAATGATCGTTTCATTTATAAATACACCCAAGTATTGATTGTATAATGTGAGAATTAATTAGCACTGAAGAGGTAAGTGTATTAGTCTGGCGCAAACCAATCTCCATTTCTCCCATATATTCCTATATTGAATAAGCATAAGTGACATATTTAACATGATATATTAGGGTATAAAAGTATCTCACATAGGAATTTAATGCCACTTAGCATCGGTTCATTTTCTACTCACATAATTATATCTCTCTCAAATGCCACTTATCTCAAGTGAAAAATACATTTCTAGCATAACATGAGTCCAATATTCGATTCTTCGAAATAGCAAATTCTCGGTTTCCTTATACAATTACAAGACTGTGCCTATATTTCGTAGATTTTTCATGGCTACTTGATTCTTAAACATTACATTTTTATGTTCAAGCTGTCATATATTTGCAATTCTGTTTTGCTCATCTTGATGTCATATAGAGAAGTCAAACGATAAAAATAGATATTCAACGTTCTTCTACCCCAAGGCTCAAAGCTTAGTTGTAATTATCCTTATTTTTTAGAAGCAAAGTCAAGTCTTTGAACACAATCATGAGAATAGGTAACCAGTTGAAAATACTTATTCATTAAAGCAATTGAAAATTTGAGAATTTGGCATATTTTGACCAACATTGGGAAAAATGGGGAAATATTTTTGCAGCCACTTGAGGCAAATGATACATGGGACTAACAATGATATTGCTAAAGCTCTTGGTCATTCTGAACCCTCAAATGTTTCTCTTTGAAATGATCAATACACATGATGGGCAACAGAAGGGAAAGGAATTAAAACAACATTAATGAAGAATATTAATTTTATATTAAACCATCAAAAAACATGATTTCTTAACTACAATGCTATTCCACATAAAATGATCGCAGAATTGTTTTCTTTCCACTCGTAGTGTTGAGACATTTTGTGTTATAAATGGTGATTTATGTCTGTGAAATCCTGTGACATAATCTGTATTTATAACTATACACGTAGAAATAATCTTGTTGGCAGATAGCGGAAATAACGTTAATGAAAAAGTCGATATACCATATAAGGTAATCGTTATAGTGATTATATTAATCACAGTAATCCTCTCATTGTTTTCAGTTCCAAAGAAATACGCCACAAAAAGTAAAAATTACTAGTATAATCATGCTCCAGTTAACTGCCTCATGGTCTTTAATGATATATTTTTAAAGTCTGAATCTTTCAATATGATTGTGTGTTAGCCTTTATTAACACCCCCCCCCCCCCTCCTTCTTAACATATGCAGCCTTTACACAAATGTAAGGAAACAGAATAAAATAGAATAAAATCTGGGTAGATAGATTGATGCAACAGGCATGTGACCATCTTTGTTGCTATTGTTAATATGAATTGTGAATTATTAATGAATATAAATTATGAATGATTGTTTCAGGATGGGACATATTTCTTGGACCTAGTACAGCATGAGAGGGAGAAATTGCTGGGTCTTTCTAGTAGAATTGAGCAGGATCTAACCACAGATATACCTGAGGAAGGTATGGCTAACAGAAGATAACAATTAATATATACAACAATTATACATATAATTATTTTAAATAATAAGTTTATTCTTATTGATAATGAATTCATTTTTCTATCTGGGGATACCAATTTAGAGATATATAAGGGTTATATACTGGGAGGTTTTAAGTACAGGGTTTATCTTGAGGGAAAAATGTATATTCTGAGTGACAGTTTTCAAAGGACACTATCTAAAACTTTATAAGCTCAGGATATACTATTCTAGTAATTCTGGGATAATGGTTTTCCATGTTAACTCTGTGGATGGATCATGAATTGCATAATATCTTTTAGGATAACTATCTCAGCACACTTATTCCATGCTCTGTTTTGAAGCTCAGAGAATTCTCTCAATATGAACTATCTTTCTTTCAGCTTGTGGTAAGATTCGTGCAGCAATTGGCAAGACAAATCTTCTTACTACTAAAAAGTTTGTGCAGTTCGAAGGCCTGTGTCAAAAGAACCTGGTAGGTGTTAACCCTTTCCAGAAGTTTGACTTCTGCACTCTTGAAATAAGATATAATTCTTTGATTTAGCAAATCCAGTCAAAATGTGTAGCTCATGGAAACAACTTCACCGTACTCTGGTTGGATATCAGACTACACTGTCATCTGCTAATAGATAGCTGACATTCATCTCATATAGAAACCTATCAAAAGACCATAAAAGCTACCATTGAGATTCCGTAAATTATTTTGAGGTACTTAGAGGGTAGTTATTGGTACTGCAAATATCTGGGTTTGGAATCTACTTCATGTCACTACATATATAAGGAATCTTCTGATCAAGGTTAACAAGATCCGTGTTATTTCCTATACATGTTGAAATTATTAAGTGATCAATAGTAAAAGTCACTGCCATGTTTGATGAAACCTAAATACAATCCATTTCTCTCACTAACACTTTTATTATTCACTTGTTCATGTTACATAGTGGAAATCACATTCATAAATACATTGTCATGTAGAATATATCTCCATCATAAATATATCATCACCAAAAATATATCATCACCAAGAATATATCATCACCAAAAATATATCAACACCAAAAATATATCATCCCTATGAATAGATCTTTGCCATAATACACATGTATCCTTGGTATACTAAGACCAATATATTGGTGTTTAGTATACAGTGAAATGATAATTTATATATATTTACAGCATGCTCCTAAAGATGACCCATTCCCTACAACATGTGAGGATCTTGCTGGTTTCTGGGACATGGTCTCCCTCCAAGTGGAAGACATCCTTTGGGATATACAAGAGATTGAAGCCATGAGAAAAAATAACTGGAAAGAGATTTCGAGAAAAGTAAGCTTATTTAGTGTTAGTGTTACTAGTATATCACCTCTAAGTGGTACATATTGTAATTGCTACCATTTCTTTCGCAGCCAGGATTCACCGTGGCTTTGGTGTTTGGCATTTGTAACAAATTGTTACATTTATAATTGTAACCATGTGGTGACATTTGACATGTTAATTCTTTGTTTTTAAGTTTATGCATCTATAAATGGTGATATTTGTTGTTGACTCATTCAGTTTTTACTGTCGATGTTTCAAATGGTTCAGCAGGAAATGTTTTTGTATGAAAAAACCTTCCTAGTTCAGTTTGACAGCGAAATAATTTCCTTATGTTGCTTATGTCAGATAGACACTCAGATGGTTAAATGATCCTACATATGACAGTGTGCATTTATTGGGTGTTTTATAGTGTATTTATTACTCTCGAGAATTTCTGAATTTTATGATTAGTTAGGTGTCGGAGTGACATTGTAGAGGTTATGAGCCTAAATACATCAGTGCCTCATACTTCAGTCTCTCTTATCTCATATCCTTATAAGACCTGCTAAGCTGACATCAGACATTGATTTTTAATCAAAAACATATTTCATTTGTTCCGTCTCAAGATACGAGCAGCTGAGGTACTTCAGCTAGCTGTGAAGGATAATTTCAATACACGACTTCTCAATTTCCAAGTACATGGTTAAAGAAGTCTGTGTTAGATTAAAAAAAATAGTATGCTGTCGGTCTGCATAGGTACCTTGTGTTATGTTTGTATGACAAGATATTTCCCTTTGAAAGTGAAGGTTCCTCAAAATTTAATCAGCTGTAGAATTGGATATCTTCCAGTTCTATACATTTGAGGTAAATCCTAAAATCCAAGATGGCCACCCCAAAGTTAATCAGCTGTAGTACTGGGATATGACCTCACAGCTGTACATATTTGAACTGAATTTGTAATCCAATTATCTTGGAATCTGATGACAAGTTTCAAGAAATTATATCAACGATTCCAAATGGCCACCAGCTGTAGAAAATGGCCTTTTAAAGTGATTTCATAACTATCTGTTCCAGAGATGTATTCTAAATGCCAAATGAATTCTAAGATAAGCATCTTTATTGCACCCTTATATTAGGTGCTATATTGTGGTCAGTTTGGCCACCATGCTGGCCTCCTGAAACTATTTTGTCTACGCATGAAATTTTCTATGATGATAATAACAAACTACACATTCATCATTATATTGTCATACTTATATTCAAGGATGCAATATTGTTTAACTGTGTCTTGTTGAATATATTTCCAGATAAGGCGTAGCTCTAGTGGTGCTAGTGATACTCAGAAACCAGTTGCTAGTAAACAGACACCAGTTAAACCTGGCAAATTGGACAGTAAATCTACAAGCAAATCTGCCAAAGCAAAAGAAGCCCAGAAAATTCGACAAGAGGCTAGAAAGAGGCTGATGGCAGCAAAACGTGAAGGAATGCGAAAAAGGACACGATCTGGGGGCGATGAGCAGGAGATTGAAATCTACATCGCTGAGCCTGTCACTAGCCCCTCCCCCATGTCATAATTATCATCCATAAGATGAAACTCGCCAGATTCAATGGTTTAAGAATATGACACATCGTTAGGTGTGATGCAACACCTTTATTGTGAATGCTATTTGCAATGGTGCCTTGGGATTACTATTTATTTTATCATTCGCAGATGCCTGTCTTACCATAAAAAACATGTGGAAAAAATGGAGACGTAAATTTCCTTTATGGAAGCATAAATCTGGAACCTTCTAATGCCACATAAATTACATGGATCAAAGGCTATATATAGGTAGTGTCACTTAGCCTAGTAGTTTATTGAAATCACATTCAGCTTTTAGATGAGACATTCCTGAGCAAATGCTGAGGAATAAACTGTTAAATCTAATGTCTGATTGTCCCTATTGTAGACACTACTAATTCGGTAGATACTACTTTCTATAGGGAATGAAACACATGATTACAATTGACCCATGCGTATTGTATTGTATTTTGTGCACGACAATATTTGGTTTGTTTCGTACTTAACATAGTTGAGACTCCTCCCTCAATGTGTTCTGAAACACTTACTTGCAGGGAATGCACCACAGGTTTTTGATTAGGTCATATGAGTTGCGGAACACTCTACCCTCATGTGCAATACATTGCAGACTTTCGCCCAATGTATTTGTAGTAGAACATAAGTTATAGATTTTCTATATAAAGTGATGAAGATGGGGATACAATCAAGTGTATTGAATGGAAGGGTTTTGAAGCTCAGATCAGGGATATCTAGAATGAATATTTTTATAGTTTACACGTCTCCAAAAGTATGTCAGTTCAGCATGGATGAAGTTGATTTCATCGAAGCCAATTGGTTGTTTCTGCATGTAATTCTGAAATCCTTATGCTTCATTCTGAGTCTATATTTTTGACAATAATTTCAAGTAGGAATATACTGTTACTTTAGCATTTCTGTAACATTACTGTACCCACATAAATACTGCTCTGTGATGTACTGTATAGTACTGCAGTATACTGTACTTTATAAGGATTCTGACATGTCAATCAAGGGACCACATTGATAAAGATATCATTGATTAAATGACATACATGAAAGACATTGAATGTACACACATTTTGAATTTGTATAAATCCATGAGTTGCGTATAGTTTCATTTGATACAACCAAGACAATGATCGACATGCACACATTTATATTTATGATGTATTTAATTATTAAAATGATGAAAATTATTCATGTCTAAATTGAGAATAATTGTATAATACATGTGTATTGTTTAAGACATATTGTTGAGTTAGTCAGTTGGCGCATGTAAATAAATTAAAATGTATGGATTACTAGTGTAAGTGCATATTATAACAATCATTGTCTCTCTTAAAATATTGCAAAGGCAATGGCCAGCATTATTATGTAATAGTTGAATGTTCTGTTCTGAACACAAGGCAAGGTGCACGAATGCGTTCTAACAATAGTTTAGCAGTGCACAATAATATAGAAATGACAGCATCACATTACTCAATGCTGTAAGCTTGCAGTCTGGGTGATAGTACGGTGCATATTAATTAATTCAAAAAATAATCAATTTCCATTTGACACTTTCAGCATTGTCAAACGAAATTATTTTAGGTTTTATGCATTAAAATCCCTTGTCAGTCATTGCCAATTTTTAAGTTTTATGTTTTGGATTAATATTTATTTATTTAATATTGAAAAGACAGTTGTGATGTGATATGTGTGTTTTGAAAATGTGTTTTTAACAACCATTGGGGTCTAATTTTAATACATGTGAAACTAGTTAGGAGGTGCATGTTAAAGATTGTATTTTTTATTGAAACTGTATCATAAAAATAATTCATATGAACCCATGTAAAGTATGTGAGAAATAACTGTAATTGTAAATGAAGTTTTGAATGTAAAAATATCGTCTTGTTAAATATTTCAACAATATTAGTGTCTCCCTGAATTTAAACACTCATTTTTATTTCCATGAGTAATTATTTATTGTATTTTAAAATGCAGTATATTAGTACATATATTATTAATTATATTGGTATATGTCTATGGTATCCAATACTAGGAAATGGTGAAATGTTCTGTAATTTATCCATTGAAATGTTTATGAGGAACACTTTCAAATCATCCACTACCCCATACTGCCATAAAGAAAATTTTAGATACTTCATACCACACTTGGATCTTCTTGCTGTTGACATTAAAAAATACTGGTAGGCCTATGTCTTTTTAATTTCACAATAACTCCCTTGAAGTATAAAAAACTGGAGACATGGAACTTGTTTTCGAATCTGTTAAGCTGTATATATTAAAATCTGTCTTCGTGAGCACCTATCTATTTGCTAGTCTAGCTACAAGCCCTTGTGACCCCCCCCCCCCCCTAATCACCTCCCCACTGTGTGAGAAGGTGTTTAGTCCAGTAGAGGGGGTCACACTCACAGAGTCTTGGAGCTAGACTATCTATTTGCTACCTATTTCTTGTGAACACCATTTCTTTGAACATATTCTATAGCCTTCAATATAAAGCCATCTCTTTAGTGAACACCTATTACAGCGAACACTATGGGTCTAAGTGTTCACTTTATCCAGGTTTTGCTTTAATGCCATATTTCAAATGAGTCTGGGAAATGTACAGTAAAGACGTATATGCCAGGTCTATATGGACATATTATAATATGTAGGGTATGTGTATCTTGTATTATGCTAACAAGTTATGTTACTGACAAAGGAATGCTTATATAAAAGATATGTTATAAACATAAAAAGAATGATTTTTGTTGATTTTATAGTGGATTATATGGAGTTATCAATAAATGAAAATGATGAATTGGATGGTGTAGGATAAATAGAGGATATCCAATGATTTATGAGTGATATGATTTTTATCCACGAATGGATATGATATCTGCACGAGGGAGCGTAGCGAGAGAGTGCAGATATCAATAACCATGAGTGGATTAAAATCATATCACGAATAAATCATAGGATGTTCTTTTTATTCCATAGTTAAAGTCATCATCAGAATCGTCGGAAATTAAGTCATTTAATTCGAATTTTCCAAACGATCCGGCGATGTTGACACTTAGCCTCGTTTTGAGTCTGAAGTAGCAAAAAACCATAAACCATCACATACGACGTCGTATGTCATGGCTAAAAAACCGTATGCTATGGTTAAGTGAAAATTTGTCAAAAATATCATATTTTACCACTGATTACAAAAATACCGTTTTTATTTTCACATGTTATCCTATGAATATCATGCTAACTATGGAATAAACCCAATTATTTTCTCTATTCACCTTTCCACAAAGTAAAGAAAATCAATAATTTCCGCAGCGCAGACTGGCTGTATGCAAATGAGTGCAATCGATGACGTCAATGGGTTAAAGTTTTGATGAGTTAGTAGATAAGGTATATGAATATTTAAAGATAATTGCAATAAAAATGACTTTAGTTGTACAAAGCAGTAAATATTTGAAATAATTAATGAAATATGGACAGGGCACTTTCATTCCAATTTTTTTTTCGATTTTTTGACAGAATTAATGTTTATAAAGACTTATAATTATTGGATCAGCCTCACTCAATTCATGCGATTGTAAACAAAAAATGTAAAAATGAACAAGCAAATCAAGTTAAATTTTCTGATCGTGGTCCTATTATTAAAATGGCTCTTACGTCGTATTATAAAACCGTAAGTGCCATTCGCACAAACTTAACTGAAATACAAAAAATAAATAAAAGTAACGGACATTTTGTCATTCAGAATTCCATCCCAATAGTACAAATTAAAATGTTTTCAAAAGCATGAATGTATTATATGGTAACTATTACTAAGATTATTTCACTACAATAATTTTTTCCATTTGCCATTCCCGTAAAACATACAATCAGGCTTTTCCTCAGTCACATTTGATCTACGGCAACCATGAATGGCTGTAGCTTCCCAAATTCGAGAGACTGATAAAATATAGGGATAAGCAATATGATGTATATTTTCTTTATTGATTTTGTTGACCTACGCCTGTTGTACCGCCGCCGTAAAGCAAATGTGATGCTGAGGCTTAGATGTAATTTAGGCCTTGCTAAATAACTTTCATCCACAAAACGTCGAGAATGCCCATGGGCTTAATAAGAAGAAAAGATTTTCATAGTACGTATACAATGGCTGTGTTACCTTTCAATATTTATTAGGCCACAATGTCAATATGATCAGCGATGTTAACATATGTATAACTGTACATACTACAATCACTGGTGATCCACTCGATTACGCTGGTTACCAAAACGGTTCGTTTTGGTAACAAAATGTTGGAACGTCGAAGGTACGATTTTTCTTTTTTCCTTATTTCACGCATTGTAGGCAGAATCCCTACGGCGTTTTTTCACACAAACTTGTATCAGCATCATATGTTTTAGAAAATGTGCATGTTTGCGAAAAAATAGGTCAGAAGACAACAGAATCGTCGATTTAATTCCTCACTTAAGTTACATAAACGGTTTGGGTTAAAAGTGCAGATCTTAACTGTTTTTCAAAAAACCGTTTATGTAACTTAAGTGAGGAATTAAATCAACGATTCTGTTGTCTTCTGAACTATTTGTTCGCAAATATGTACATTTTCTAAAACATATGATACTGATACACGTTTGTGTTAAAAATGTCGTGGGAATTCTGCCTACAACGTGTGAAATAGGAAAAAAGAAAAATCGTACCTTCGACATTCCGACATTTTGTTACCAAAACGAACCGTTTCGGTAACCAGCGTAATCGAGTGGATCACCAGTGACAATGATATAGGCCTTCATTATACAATAATGCACAAAGTATAACATTGCAGAAATACATAGGATTTAATCGTGTTTAGCCGATTTATTCATGGGAGAGAAGTCAATAATTTAATGAATAAGAGCAAGTGTTTTCAATTTTAAACAGATCATTCATCAAATAACCTCGACGATTAACTTAAAATAAATTATTTATTTTTATATTTTTATGACAGATGTGTTATATAGATGTTTAACTAATGCCAATGCCCATTGTTCATATTTAGTCGCCGTCTATACTTTTTGGTTGGGATTACTGACCGCCCTGGACTGACTGGCAGTGGATCTCTGAAATTCTCCTCATTATGAACCTAAATTGAATAATTAAAACACAAGAAGTAAATAAATGTCAATGTGATGTTTCATAAAAAATTTCGGTTGTTTTTTGAAAACTTACTCAATTGCATTTGTCTTTTTGCGGGAAAAGTTTAACCCATTGACATCATTGATTTTTAAGAGCCCCATTATAATATTCATGAGCTGACTTTGTGGAAAGGTGAATTGGTCACACTTATTCATAAACCTAGTACATTAGGTCTTTCTGTTTGGGACACAATTTTGAAAAACAAAATGCCATCTTTATTCTTCATACGAACATGACTGTATTCACGCCTTCTATAAACTGTAAATAAAGTCAACATTTCACCCCGATATATTCGCGAACAAAACCCCTGGTAATTCGTGTAATGTGTGACGTCATAACAGCAGGCCGTAGTAACATGAGTAATGGCGGACCATAATGAATATTCGAAACATTTTGGTGAGTTTTCAAAATCGAATCGTAATATAGACCTCAGAGCAGGTGTAATATTGTCGAATACACCCCTTAGGGCTAGGCACAAAAGCTTTCGAACCCCTCACTACCTTCGGTCATTTTGGGTACAGAAAACGTTTGTGCCTAGTCCTGCGGGGTGTATTCGACAATATAACCCCTGCTCTTTGGTCTATATTTAATATGCTGCAACCTTTAGAGGGGACAAAAATCAATGTTTTCCCAGCCACTGCACTGCTGTGTGACTGGTCTACTGAGGAGACTGACATATCCATGGCCATATATTGTACATGTTAAAATAGTGTTGATCAGTTCAACATACGAACAATGGATACAGAGTAAGCTCTTTGTAACTGAATATACTCAATTTTAAGAAATAAGTATTTTGGATTTGTCAATTTTCTGGACAAACATGGAGAGCATGACCAAAATGTTCCTCCATTTTTGGCACTGGACTATAGTACAAGTAAAAGTTAAGTGAACCACAGTCCATTGCGGTAGCTTCTTCAATATCATTGATCTCTGTGGTTATGATACATATTCAGATTCAAAACCAGAACAACGGCAACGCCAAAGCGTAGCGAATCCCATCGAACAGAAATGGCTGGCATTTTTACAAACAAAGCGCAAATATCATAAAACAACACACCAGAAAGGCCACCATTTTCAAAATGGTTGCTCACTAGCCAAGTTGCCATCAGAAGAAATAATATGCTTTTAAGTAGCCACCTCTAAAATTTTTAAAAATCGCACACGTACTTGTAAAATAACACACATAAAAATGGTGGCCATTTTGACTACTCCCCAAAGTTTTATTAGACAATGTGCCATGCTTGAAGTATTCACATATCAAATATGAACAAAATCGCTCCACTACTTTTCGAGTTATAGTAAAATACGTTAAAATGGCGGCCATTTTTCAAAATGGCCACCTTCTACCAAAAGCGTCATTAGAAATAGACAGTGTGCCATGCTTATAGTATTCACATACCAAATATGAACAAAATCGCTATACTACTTTTCGAGTTATAGTGAAATACATTAAAATGGCGGCCATTTTTCAAAATGGCCGCCTTCTACCAAAAGTGTCTTTAGACAGTGTGCAATGCTTATAGTATTCACATACCAAATATGAACATAATCGCTCCACTATTTTTTGAGTTACAGCAAAAAATGGCCGCCTTCTACCAAAAGTGTCATAGGACAGTGTGCCAAGCTTATAGTATTCACATACCAAATATGAACAAAATCGCTCTACTACTTTTCGAATTATAGTAAAATATGTTAAAATATTTTTCAAAATGGCCGCCTTCTACCAAAAGTGTCATAGGACAGCGTGCCATGCTTATAGTATTCACATACCAAATATGAACAAAATCGCTCAACTACTTTTCGAGTTATAGTAAAATACGTTAAAATGGCGGCCATTTTTCAAAATGGCCGCCTTCTACCAAAAGTGTCTTTAGACAGTGTGCAATGCTTATAGTATTCACATACTAAATATGAACATAATCGCTCCACTATTTTTTGAGTTACAGCAAAAATCGTAAATTGATGAGAAAAGGCCGCCATTTTTCAAGATGGCTGCCATGTGCTTCTTTAATATCTACATTTGTAGCATTATTAATGTCCTTTATAATTTTTTTACATTTAAAACATATTGCTATTACAGTTTTACATATTGCACCTAAATTACTGTAAAATCGTCACTAAAATGGCCGCCATTTTGAAATGAGCGGCCATTTTGAAAATCGGATGGACGGACTTACGTACGGACGGACGGAGCTATTCCCTATATCCCACCGAACTTTGTTCGATGGGATAATGATTTGGAAAGATGGCGGAAAAGCAGATCATATCTTTTTTTCTTCATCAGACTAAATCTTTCTGCATTTTTAGGTCACCACCAGAAGTTGTGACATATTGTCCAACTTTTTTGTGGATAGTGTTGGCAGTTGGTATCAGTAGTACCAAAGTGAGGGGGTGCTCTTTATTTAGTTTCTGCAGAAACGCATTCTCAAAGACTCCATCATGCTCATGCCCTGCACAGGGGAAGATGGCCCAATAGCAAAAATGGTTCCTCCATAGTTAAGACCAAATGGACCCAAGTGGGCACATAAGACAGATAGCTTCACACATATTTTGAGAACATTTGGTTACATTACAATATCAGCCATATTGGTTTAATTTTAAAAAAAGGCATAACCCACAGTAAATCATCAACAAAAGATCTATTACTCATATTGGATCTTCCACATTTTATTTCAACTGTATTCAAAACTAAAACTTTCCCATAGAGTGCTAAGACAAAAATTAAATGTTTCTTGACAGTTTGAGACTCAAAATAGATACAACAACAAGACTCATTTCCAAAATATATATCCCAACATTAAAATTTCCAAAATAATTGGGATCTTTAATAGTTACAAATTGAAGGTTATATGGATATAAGTCAGTGCCATATACAAATACGTAATTCAAGTCTCTTGAAAACATAATATCTTTAATTCCAGATATAATCATGAATAGAGAGTTTCCTTATTTGGAAGCTATCGTCTCTGGGTTAGATTAAATATCAAAATATAATTTAGAAGAAATTAACAAATTAGAACATTTTACAGCGCATGAAAATCACATTCTCTCTGACCTGTATGTACAAGTTGTATACAGTGTATAGACAGTGCATTAAATATATATCAGATTAAGAGGAACAAAATACACCAAAGCTTTAGCCAGTTAGTAAAGGATTGAGAACCTAGCCATTATAGGTGGAATAAAGCTCAGAGTTCGTTTTATGCAAGCATTTAAACAAGAGCCCAGAGGGCGGGTGTTTCAGCTGGCATTCACTTAAAACATTATTTATATAGTGGGTAGGTTTTGTACATATGTTGAAACAGAGTGTATCTTCCTGTATGGATAAAGACACCAAGGTATGAAAATCATGCATTATCATTACGGATAACTCATGGTTATACCGCATTCTGATTGGTCAGAACATGATAATGCATGCTATGTGTGAATTAATATTATCAATTGAAATACAAAGGGTGCACAGGTTTATTCAACCTGGTTCTCATCAGAATACAATCATACAAAGCATCTGAACCATTAAATTGAAAATAGCACCATAACACTAATACACACACGCTAAATATACCTCAAATTCAATCAAATTATTAAATAAGTTACTTTTAATGACTTGTAAAAAGTTACACTCTTAAAACTAGCATCTACGCTAATTGTCCGCGAAAGCATCAATATCAAATGTTGAGCACATAGTTAGACTTCCATTGCTAAATTTAAAGCTACATATATCCATACATTCATGCATAGAACTACATTTATACAAATCTATATATATATCAGTGTTACTGAACAATATTCAATCAACCTTTACCATTACAACCTATGTATGTACAGTATTTCATTGCATATACTTACAAGTATTTTAATACTTAGTTAAATGAACATAATATATAAGTTACAAGTACAAGTATAATAGTTACAAGTACTATCATCATAGTTACAAGTACTACCACAAGGAGCAAGAACTATCATAATTGCTACAAGTGTAGTTTTTTTATTCATAATTGTTGAATATTGTTTCAAGTAAATAATGTACATGTACATGAAATAAGTTGATCAAGAGAGTGTACTAAATATTGGAACGGTTTAGGTTCTATAATTATATAAAGCTAACTGCAAAACATCTAAAGGACCCACCATTAACCATTTACAATTACTTTACACTATTTTACACCAAATACTGTTCTTACGAATATAGCAAGCTGCTTATATATCATTACAGACCTGGAGACCAGGTTCATCGTTGTCAGTCATTCTTTGGAATAATTCTCAAGAGGGGCCAATGTTTTCAATTTAGGGCCTCCACAACTAGTGTATTGTATTTATATGAATTAGTTTTGCAAATAAAAACCATTACCTGAAAAACTTACTTGAAACACCAAAAATTCAATCCTGAAGTATTACTTTTTATCACTTCAGTCACATTTATTTCTGAATCTAAACAAAGTCTTTAAAGATTATGCAACTTGAGATATAAAAGACATTTCATCAACTCTTCAGTTCCGTGTAATAAAGACTACATATATATTTCCACCTATCAGATTTTACACAATATTAACTCCTGTATATTTATTCACTTCAGATGATTAACTCTACATAGTTTGAAGGCAGCATTCCATGTTGGCCTGTTCTCTCTACAGTACCAGTCATCCAGCCCTCATCAATAGCTTCAGAGTTGATGATAATGTCATCTTCATTAAAGCTGACTTCATCATCATCCGCTGCGGTGTAATCGTACACAGCTTTGTATCGTGGACCCTAAAGACACAGATTACGATTATGGCATATTTGATACATACTACATGGTTTATCCCAATATACACATATTTCCACATTCCTTTGCACTTTTGTCACTGGATATTTTGATATGCATAAAAAGGTCAATTCATATTGAGTTCTTATAGTGGAGGAACCACAGATACTATTTTCTATGCTCCAAAGAAATATTATAACATTTTATCTGCCTAAAATGTATGTATGTATGTAAAACCTAAGTAGGCATGCAATGTACAATGTAAGGTAACAGATTGTAGGAAGTTAACATAAATGTAAACACATTTTTTGGGAATTCCCAATATCCATGGACTAATGTATTTCTCATATTATATTACATAAAGGCAGGCATATAAAACTGGTTGTTAAAGTTGCGTGTTGGAGTATTATATGGAATTTCCCAGATGTGAATTTTAGCATACATGTAGTTCACTTATGAGAAAAATAACATTTGATAACACCTAAGTGTATTGTGATGATTTTACAATATAAAGTAGTGACTGTATTTCATAATGTGTTGTATTTTTAGAGGAGGTTGATGAATGTTACTTACCCCTACTGTAGGAGCTGGTGCAGGAGGAGCCGGTTCTGGAACTGGGACATAAGCTTGTGGGGGTGGGGGGTTGTATTCTTGTTGGGGTGGCTGATAGGGTGTTGGGTTAGGATCAAACTGGGGTTGTGTTGAGGGAGGTTGATATCGGTTCTGGGTAGGATCCGGATAGGCTAGTTGTGATGCCTCTTGCTGCAGTTGGTAGGAAGGTTGTGGGGGTGCAGGTTGTGGGGGTGCAGGTTGGGGTGGTTCAGGCTGAGCAGCTGGGTAGTACGCTTGGGGAGGACCTCGAGCTGCAAATAAACATATATGAGTCCAAATTAGAATGTAACATTAATTTCACATGGATGTTATGGAAAAGAGATGGTACTTTGTTACTTTGTGCATTTCATTTACTTTTATGGAAAATAATATGAACATAATTTGAAGTATTGGATAATTCATCCCGGTAATCTATTTCCCTACACTGTCTGTGTGCAAGTTTGAAAAGGGGTGCATACAGTTTTAATGGAACATTAATTTTAACAGAAAAAGAGCCCACAAAATATCACAGACAAAAAGACAACAGTTAGAGTAAAAATAAAATAAAAATAGCAAAATAATTTCATAATAACGTAACCAAATATATGTTCATGAAATCAGAAACTTTTCAAGTCTTAGGGTATTCTTGTTTTATTTTTTACTTCAACAAATTGTTTATGAGGAAAGCCTCGACAGAATTCTCCCACCACGGAAGAGTATTAACTTACAAGGTGCTGGGTAGCTCTCTTCCTCCAGGTTGCCCGCAGAATAACGATCTTTATTCTCAGCTGGCCTAGCAGGACTGGCACCACCAGCGCCTACTATTGAACCATACTTGTCATTCAGTGGGTCATAGTCATGAATGGAGCCCACTTTTCTCTGAGAACGCTGGGTTGGGTCAATTACTGAAACAGACAATGTAAGAAGGTCTCAATATTGGATTGACGTACAGGAATTCCTTCTAATTTCTCAAGCATTTACATATCTAAACATGAGAAATTGATGAATTCCTGGCTGGATGTTGGATGGAGCCTAAATGTAACTAATAACAATGCTGAATTAATTAATTAAAGTGCAATCTGTATAAAATAATAATAAACAAGACATTAACATGCAAAATGTCACCACCTGCCATTTGTTACAGACAAACCTCTGAAAACCATCAACAAAAAGTCGTAGACTGTAACAATATGTCACACTTTTGTGATGACATAAAAACATGTTCTGTATAAAAGCCAAAAAAACTTCAAATTCAAACAAGCAGAATACATAATTGTTAATATAATGCAAAAAGCATATCTACCAATACCTCAAGGCTACACTGTCAAGTAACTTGAGAGTTAAGTCTCAACACATTTGATATATGAAGGCTGTATGATGGCCGTAGCTTCACAAAATCGATAAAGAAAATTTACATCGTACTGCTAATCCCTATTAATTTTATGCTGCATATTCTTGGAAGCTACGGCTACCATATGATTGCCGTAGATCGAATATGACTGAGGCATAAAAATCAAGCATGGGAGCAAAGCATTAATCATGGTGAGAAGCACATGCAACAGGTAACTGCAAAAAGCCATGCAGGCAAAATTTTATCTACAATAAGGATATATCATCAAATAAGAGTGCATAAAATAAAACACAAAATCATGTCACTATCTAATAAGGTAAGATACACACATACACAAGCAGGAGTGGAGATAATTCAATATTAAAGAACTTAAGCCCAAGGTCAATGGATTGTAGATTACCACAAATCTATTGCATCAAGATTTTGAATGAGGGCGGAAGACCAAATTTAAAGGCTTGGATTCAATTGCATTAAATCCTCCACAATTCATTGTCATGTGCTTAAATTCTTTTCACACATTACAAAAGATTTTGCATGCGTACATCATTACTAATTTGCAAGGAAACTTTCTTGTGAGGGGTTTTGCAAGATTTGACATTTTGACCTGCCTTTCTACAGTACCTGTCTTTCTATTCATTATGATTCTTCAGGTATTTCTAGTTTTAATATCAACTCCCAAATTGAAATCATGAAATTGATGAGGATAATCAATTTCAGTGAATCTCTAATGATTTTACTGAATATCATGCCTAGCTTTGTGTGAATTCTAGTTCAAACCAATTGACAATGTTATAAACAAGATCATGCTTAGTTGCTGTCATAACTTCCCTATCAGAATTTAATATGCACCCAGTTGGAAATTTCACTGCACCCAGTTGAGACCTAAATATGCGCCAAGTTAGAAATCTGTTACACCCAAAAGAGACTTAATATGTAGGCACTTAAGATTGGAAATAAATATACTACTATATATATATGCGGTCATTTGGAATGCAAACTTCACCCAGATAATTTAATATTCACAAAGTTCAAAGTTATATGCATCTAATTGGAAACTTAAACCCCAAAATGTAAGTTTAGGACATCTCTTGGGGTAGCACAGGAATACAAGTTTATGACAATCAGCAATATATAGCTTTGGACTAATTCCAATGCCAAATTTAGGTGGGATTGGGAAGAGGGGACCCAAACTTATGCATGTTATCACTCATTTTCAGAGGTTTCAAAATACATAATTAATACATATATTTAGGACATATGCAAGGAAGATGAAACTTACATAAAACACCAAATAGGACCAAACATAGTTAATTGCATTTCACATATATACAAGCAAAACATAATGGACTTTTGCCCCTACCCAAAAGTAATCATTTTGAAAAGCTCCATTTTCACAAAGGATAGCTAGTACAATGTGTATGTGTTAGGGAAAAGAGAAAATATAAGCTGCAAAATGGTTGATAGTTAAATGCATTATCGTGGCTACAAATCGCTATAACAACAAATAATTAATGTTACTATAGGTACGATGTTGCCGTGACAATAATTGCTGCAAAGTGATGTAGCAACTGTTCAAAGAATATAGCACACTATACATCGAACAGTTACCGAGTAGACATAGTTACCATAACAACAGTGAAGTCTTTCCATGGTAACAAATATGAAAACAAGCACAATACTAGTATACAATTGTTACTGTGTACAGATGTGTTGGTGTGTATGACAACAGTTGCTATGATTACCTGGGGGTGGTTCCCACCTAGGTGCACTAGGTCTTCGTCCTCCATCTATAGACACTTCAGGTTCTGGCAAAATCAATGTTATACCATGCATCATGCAAATGTATAAACTTATTGCAATTTGTAACTCTTTCACACATCATTCCCATTCATTTGGTCAATACGGAGACTATTCTTTGACACATTGTCACTATGGCAAAATTGTGGAACAACCAGATGAACTCCAGTGTATAAATTAAAGGTTATGACCTATTAAAGGCTGTATATGTGATTATGATGCACATACATGTACTAGTCATAGCTAGTCATTCGTGCACCTAGTCATTCGTGTAGCTATAGGTAGGAGGTTGGCAAATGCCTTTTGTTCAACAGAAACTGTAAAAATATTGTCTCATAGAATAAAAATCATAACTGGCTGAAGATTTTATTATTATTTTTAATCCTAGCTACGCCCCTGCTAGTACATGTATTTCTTTAACAATCTGTTATTAAAGTCAAGAGTACAATACACATCAGTACTATAATATAATAAATATTTTAGAACTGAAACACTATAAATATTTTAGGACTGAAACACTATATTGTTTATTTAGCGATCTTAAATAGAGCTAAAAATAAATAATTGAAAAAATGATAAAATAAATATGCTGAATAATGAAAATGTTGCTCTTCAATTGAACATAAGAAAATCATAACTCCTGCTACATGAGAGAACAAAACACATTAAAAGCTGCAAAATGCAATACCATGCAGTTATATAGAAAATAAAAATTAAATATAAAAAACCCTAATATATAGTTTAGTAGGATACAATGAATATTCATGAAACTATTTCCCCTAAATTGAGAATAAAAATGAATTTACAATATTTTCGAGTCTACCGCTAAAAAAATTTTCCAAAACCCTTTTTACTTGTTACTTAAACAACATTGCTATAAAGCATACTAGTATATCTCTATTTGTACAAGGCAACACGAATATCACAACCCCTAATTTTGGAATAATTTTCTCAATTATACTGAAAGCTAGGACTTTCCTTTGTAGATACAATATCATACATATAGTCATAAATGGGACTACTATTTTTGGAATACCTTAATCAAAAGTGAAATGACTTGCCATTTTGGTAAAATTCACTCTACCATAATTGATTATTCCAATATCAGTGAAATATATTTTTGTGTCACCATGTACATCATGATAGCTTTTTCATGTTTCTACCCAAATATCTTGCCATAAACAGCCTATAATATACCCTAGTCTTTTCTAAAATCATTAAGGTGCTGTATTCCTTCCTTGTATCTACTCAAATGAAAAGCATAAACTCACTTGAGAATGTGGGATGCTGTGGCTCCCCTCCCCCTCCCCCTGGCTGTTGTTGTTGTTGTTGCGGCTGTTGTTGTTGTTGGGCCATTGGGTCGTAATCATTAATAGATCCAGGCTGGCGTTTGTAGTTCGCTGAAATAATAGCACATTAAATTAGAGAACATTATGAGACTTAAGTACATTTTAATATTGGAATGGTGTTGAATAAAAAAAAATATCTCATGCATTTATATTTTCTTTAATATCAGATGAATATCAGGGACTCTGTTTTTCACTACTCATGGATAAAAGGACAAAAACAATATCCCTAAAGGATATCCTCTTCATTATTCTTTGTGTAATGAAAGGGACTTGATCGAATGTAACATTTAAGCTTACAATTGAATACAAATAAAAATCATATAAAATATACAATTATAAAAAAACAGACATGGTAGAATGGCTTATTATATAGGGAAGGCAAAGCAAAGCAATTTGTTGGAGACAGGGGATTTATCTTTTTTTGCAGTCAGTTTGAAGCAAGTGTACCATAGACATAATTAAAATGTAAGTGTCTATGGACATAATATTCTAACATGTTCTCAAAACCTTTTCCTCATGAATTTTCTGTACTTATCAAAACACTATAAAATGTTGTGCAAACAAATTCTAAATTGAGTTTTCCACTTCTGACAATTTGACAGTGATTACACAAAGTGAGCTTTATCTGCAACATTTGGGAAAAAATATATGAAACATGTACAAAGAAACTGTGTGAGATACAAAATCAAGTGCTCAATTTAGTGGAATAGATTCACATCTCAATCAATTCAACACTCATAGTGGTTGGAAATCAACACAGTGTACAAATATCTAGAGAGTAATCTTATCAAAATCCTTACATAAGTGGGGTGTGGGCATTTAAATACAGGCAGACTGATGCCAGGTCCTTCTTTAGTTACAGTATAAGCTTTCTAATTGACTTTTGAGATTTTGTAAACATGCATTCTTTGGTAATGAATATTAGTTGGTAGGACTACATGCTTTATAAAGTTGGCTGTATTTTAGATCCAAAGACATAATTTACCCAAAGTTTGAAAAATAAATTTCCTATTTTCAAAAAATCATCAGGGGAGAAAACATTTTTTGAATTCGTAACACAAAATCATTCTATACATATTGTTATAACACTCAAAACATGTCAAAATAAAAACAAATCTGAGAGTAGTCAATATTTTCAAAAAGATTATATTCTTAAAATTTACCTGCTCTCTCACTCTGTGCAAGTCATTCATTCTAATGATATTGATTCAAAAGTTATATCGTCTGTATCACAGTGCTTAAAGAAAGTGTGCTTTACTGGGAATTAAAGTACTACTTATAGGGTCAAAATTGCAATAGTATGATATTTTATCACAACAATATCAATTTCTGACGAAAAAGGTTTCTTATCAAAGGAGTGGTATCGATATGGTGAACTTTTTGAACACACGTTTCTCTTAAACAAGTCATCAAAACATTCTGAAAATTTTACACATTGTCAATTTAATGGTCATTGTTTGGATGGTAAAATTATAATTTGAAGTATATACTTTTCTCTATATTGTTTTAGAAAACATCAGACACTTCTTTTGTTCTTGGTATCATATGTTCGGAATGAAATGAAACATCTATTCGAACCTCATTGGAACAAAAGGACATAAACACAATGTGTTTAGGTCTCTCAATATTGTTATTGTACAAAGGAAAGTTTGATTGATTTTAAAAAAGTATCTCGTTAATGAAATAAAAGGTTTGTCTTATTTTTATCTATTTTGGGGGGTTTTGTTTCAAGTTTTTGCATACTATTTGTTAAATCAACCAAAATTTCCTTTGCATAACTATAATATTGAGAGGTCTAAGAAAATGTTGTTTATGCTATTTTGTTCCAACAAGGTTCGGAAAGACATTTTATTTCATTCTCAAGAACTGGTAGAAATGAACAAAAAACAATTGCACTAAAAAACAAAAAAGTTAACAAAAAACAGTTATTTAAAATATATATAAATAATTTATAAATAATTTTTGCATTAAATTGTTGCCAATCAGTCATTACAAAAAGGATAGTGTTTTTTTACTGAATGTTTTAAATAATTGTTTTAAGAGAAAACAGTGTTGAATTCAGTTCACCATATCGATACCTATCCTTTGACAATTTCTTTTGCAAAATTTGATGCTCAAAGTGGTACTTTAAATACTTCTAATTTACTATGTTATGCCGAGGCTAGGCGTAATATGCTTTGTTATCCTATAGGCATAGGGGTAACAACAGGGGAAGGGAATTTATATTCTATACTACCTTCCTTTGCTTGGGCTTCTATCTCAGCTGTCACCATTGCAGCCTTAGCTGCAACATGTCCTTTAAACACAAACTACATGCATAACTAACTAGGACAGGCAATAACAGTGGTACTCTCATACTAGGGTATGTTCACGCTGGTGCACTCTCACACTATTGGGTATATAAAACTATTTTTCCTATGCCAAGTAGAGTTTTAGGGAGATAAGCTTGTAAGATATATCCCGTATCCTGATTTTGAGGTTTCCATATCCAGAACCTCCATATCTCCCGCCATATCTCCCGCTTCGGTGCATATCTTCCCGCTTCCGGTGCATATCTTCCCACTTCCGGTAATGCAATAAAATGACTTTGCATCTGAATGATTTGTTTATTTTTACACCTTGTACTATTGAAATGGTCATATGCCCCCGGAAACTCTACTTGGTATAGGATAAAGCAGTTATGTACGGTCTGTTTGGATATTGGGTTCATCCCTCGTGAGATATGCACATCTGCCTTCGGTCCCTACAGTCCCTCAGGTAGATATGCATATCTCCCTCTGGATAAACCCCATATCCAAAACCTCCCAGTATATAACCCTCATTTATCACCTCAAAATAGCTATATATTCAGAATGAGAAATCTCATGCACTATAACAGAACCCTATATAAATGCACTATCATAAGAGGACTCATAATAACAGCACTATAATATATGGACTCTCCTAATTTGCACTAAGATATTAGAACTCTTGCAATATCTGCACTATAACAAGTCGATTCTTATAATATCAGCACTATAATATGAGCTCTTACAATATCTGCACTATAACAGTATCATCAACTCTTGAGGCATCACTCTATTTAATCTATTATAATCCAACACTAGCTGGATAAGTAGCAGTAGTAGTCTAATAGGGAGACTCACTTGTAGTATGACATTCACCCAAAGCATATGGACTGTTAACTGAAGAACTAACGAACAAGACACACTTGGGCGCAAATAGTGGAGGAACCATAACATACAATTTATTCTGTATTAGCTCTACAACTTACCTATTCATGGAGAGTTAGTTTTGATGATAGTATAACAATGTATTATATGAACAAAATATACATACTTAAAGAAAATTAGTAGACCAAAATGTTAAGAATTAAGAAAAATAAAAAGATGGTTTCATACCTGGTCCGGATTGTTTCCTTGCGCCTTGAAAAAAATAAACAAAAGCATTTCAATGCTGCAACATCACATTTATGCAAAACAAGGCACAAATCTGCACAAAATAACACAATAATGACAGTTGTTGCAATTTAGTTCAAACCATTAATGAAATAAAGTAAAATTACTCAAGAAGCAAAGCCAAATAAATAATGATAAATAAATGAAGTAAATAATATGTATCACACACTTCGAAGTCAAGTGAATGATGGTTATGATTATCAGGATTATTTGGTCCAAAAAGCATGGAGGAAATACTTGTGTTGGAATGGCACATTTTGTAAAATCTTGATTCACACTATGCATGCTTTAAACTTGGGGTCATGAACAGAAAAACAATAAAATAAAATATTTGTAACCATGGAGATGACGTCTTGGAAGGGAATATTATGGACTTAGAAATAGTTAACTTTTTAAGTCAGTTTCTGCTAATGACCCCTTGGGACTAAAGTCGCTTATTATGTATGGCTCTTTAGCAATTCTAATGTGTTGCATTACCTTTTCCCTGCTCTCCTTCAACTGGCCTATTCGCCTCCTGTTTGGCTTTATCTTGAATGACATTGTGGTACGAAACTTGACTGATGTTTTTCATGTTAGCCCTTATTCTCAGAGTCTCAGGATCATCTGCAACCTCTATCTTCTTGCCTTTGATGTCCTTTTCAAACTGTGCATGGTACTTGATCTAAAACAACATGAGCCCAATTAGTGTGAAGTTTTGGCTAGGGTATCAGGAGGGAAGTGAAAATATGGTACTTTGCATGCTGCCCCTTGTATGGGAGATTACACAGGCAGTGATTCTGAGGATGTTACCTTGATATAATAATAATAACTAGAGGTGAAATGATCATTATTTGATCTCAGTCTATGGACAAATTCAGTCTTAAGTCCAAAAGAAAGCTCAGAATCAGCAACCTATGTGCCCAAGTGGCTGGTGTGTCTACAATGGATAATGCAAAATACGATACATTCCAAACATTTGCAATATGCCCTATTATCTATATTTGCATTTTTCGCATTTCAATCAATCTAATTAGTAGTACTATAAAGGAATTCAGCTATAATTTCTTGGTGAATATTGTACATAACTACCTATGTTTTAAAATACAATAAAATAATGTTTTTCTAATGAAAATGTTAATATTCCAATCCATAGCCTAAAATTGATATTTCCACTTTATGAGTTTGGGATTTGTCTGTTATTTGACTAATATGTTAACAAAACAAATATCTTTAAGGTCTAATGCACAAAAAATCAATTAACGTTATTATCCAATTTATCAGGAACTGGTATTGCAACCTTTACAGGATTATGAGTAAGAGGGTATTACTGTAAAAGAATAAAGAAACAACAAATTTCCTATTAGTACATTATACAACAACCAGGGTAAATGCCACAAAATTAAAGTTAAATTAAAATCCTCTCACTATTCCTTGATTCAAGTTCGCTGACCAAATATTCTATTTTGAATTGATAGAAAATGAAAGTAAAACAGATTTTCAGACTAGAAATATATTATTTCAGTAGTTTTATTTTTATGTTTTTTTCAGTTATGGTCTAATTATGAAATTTTCAAAACACTCACTTAAAACCTCTTCCCTTTCCCCGACCATTTTGAGAATTCTAAAACTCTCTGAGTATTTTAGCCATTTTTGCGGAATTTCCCTTTACAACAACAAGCATTCTCTACAATTTTTCAAGATGAAGGATGGAAAAAGTGAGTTGTGCTGTAATCAAAATAAAATCAGCGTTTGAAATGTATAATAGCCACTATTAAAACAAAATGATGATCATGAAATAAATGGGGCAAATTGTTATGTGTATCAACTAAACTTGTAGCAATGGCCTTGAATCTCTCAAAGTTTTTTTCTCACCAGGATTTTCAATATGAATTTCACCAGTTTTGGTCAAAATATCGCAATATTTCAGGGTTGCATGCAATATTCAGATTTTCAATAGGGTTGGCATCTTGGTGCTCTAATGCTGGGAGATCACTTTTGACTATACCAAAAGGAAATGTGAGAAGTGACAATTCAGAGGCTCTTATATGAACTCATACATGTAAAGACATGTTAAACCTTGAGATCTGGGACTCAATTCTACATGAAATCGCAGACACTGGCAACATAAATACTATTGATGTTTTAAATGCCCTTTTGGTAACAGATAACCATGGGTTTCATAAGCATTTCTGATTACAGTCAACAAGGATTGAAACCCAAAATATACAAAAATAATTTTAAGATGGAAGCAGTTGCTTTTTGGTAAAAAACAACAACAAAAGCCACAGAAAATCGACTATTGCCCGCTGTTTATGGAACCCCTGGATGACCTCATTATATTACCAACAAGTAATATCCATTGCAATTAAGAAATAGAGATCTAAAATAATATTAATGGTTACTACACAAAAAGGAACTGCAAAACTACAAACAACATTGAACAATAATACAACAATATCAATCATATAATGGGGAGAATAGGCAATAATTCTTTCAGCCTAGGCCCTCCAATTGTATCAGTAACAGGTGTATTGACATGAATTCAACATGCAAATACGTAACAACATCAATCGATTAGAAAAATCATGCAAGTTCACAACAGCATGCTAACCGAACTGATCTGTTCAGTATTCTGGCGTATACGTCTAGTCTCTGGATCATCTGCAACTGAAGTATATTTGCCCTTTTCCCCTTCAAACTTAGCGTGGTACTTCACCTATAAAAGCAGTTGAACTCATTATCCTGAACATTTTCTAAATGTAGATGCCAAATTCTCTCAAAATCCAAAAAAATAGAAGCATTTTAGCACCTAATTTCAGGACATAACCAAGGATCAGGTAGATAACTCAGCTGAGATAAATTCCACATTACAATTTGTTATGAAGATTTTACATTGCCTAAATTTTGCATTTTTAATCATGAAAATCTTATTTCTACAAGCATCAAGTCTATCATATCAAATCACTCATGAAACCTAACATGCTATCTGTCTACAAATTTAATGCAGTCCATCCATCTAATGGTGCAGTATGTGGCAAAATCAAAAAATTCATGATGGCATAACATACAAATCAGTGTATAAACTTCACTCTATGTGCTAAAATATTTGCTTTTATATCCCTATCATGGATGGGGTTTCTCGAGTCTTAACTGCCATGATGCGATTCATTACTTGAGATCATTGTGACTTGTGGCTCAGCTAAGAGAAAGAGATAACCCATAATTCATAGTTGCAATTATCTCTTCATGCATCACTTTCACTGCTCAAATTTTCTAACATCTTTTATCTGAATACCACATATCGATATTATGTTTTTATCAACATAAGCATATTCTTTGCATTCTTCTTGATATAAACCACAAGTCATAATATTCCAAATTATGCCCCAAAAATTTTGAATCATCCATTTAGTTTCCTCTAGATGTGATCAATAAATGATAATCAACCAATCAGTGATGATGATGCTATCAGTCATAGACCAATGAAAATCATTACATGAAGATTTAATGTTCAAGTATGCTGGGTACTTTTCTCTCCCTGTAGGCTCACCTGTTGTAGCCTGCCACATTGATATATTTCCTTACCTGACTCTGATTCTGGGTATTAGCTGCGATTCTCATATTTTCTGGAGTATCTGCTACAGCTGTGAACTTTGTGGTTGGGTAATGACTGCAAATAAACAAACAGACATATTCAAAATCCTTATTGAACTTTTTAATGTACAACTACATGTATTTATTACTCTGAATGTGAATACTCGCATAACACAAAATATTACCACAAAGTTACAATTACAATATTGTGACGATTAATAACTAAAAGAATAGGTCACTACTTTAAGGTGGTGACATAAAATAAAGGACCCATGTCTCTTATATTCACATAATGAATTGCAATGTCTTTACCTAGCAGTTTTAATTTTTACTATCAATATTCCATTCCTGGACAGTCAGATACATACATGATCCCATAATTTTCAGCAGATACATATGGTAAAAATCATAATTAAATGAAAAAAATAATATAATTAAAAAAATGGGCGCATATTATGACATTCATTTGATCAGGATTGATTGAATAAAATAAAACAAGAGTTATTGATTGGATGGAACAGACAAACGGTTAACATTTGAAGTTTTTGAAATGTTAAACAAATAAAAACAAGTTACTAATTTATTTGATTATCCAAGTTCAAAGTTTATTTTGTTGGTTTGGATTTAAAGTTATGTTTAGTAAAGTATAAATGTAGTATTAGGTGCATTTTTTATCAGTTGGGTTGGAATGTTCTGGTATACAACACCCAGGCAGAGATAAATCAACACAAGGCTACCAACATAGCATAACCTAATACAAGGTACAGTAAAACCTGCGAACAGGGAATGCTCTTGGGACTGGAGGAAAGTTTCCTTGTTCAGAGGTTTTCCCTATAGAGAGGGGCTGCACTTTCAACAAACTCAAACTTGCCGAATAAGCATATTTGTAAATATATGGGCATTGATTGATTGTACCAATGCCGACTCCATACTTGGTTGCTAGACCTTGCTGTAACATCTTGCAAGATGTATGAAGGTCTCCCATCTCCCTCCATTGGCTGAGGGAAAGGAGCATTCTCTCTTTGTTGATTTTAGCTACTGATGCTGGTGTCTGATGATGTCTAGTTGATGTAATTATTGAAATGATGTGTACAGATATGTTGCTAAGAACTGATTTCAAGTTTCATCAACCCCATTTTATATCATTGATAATCTAGAAGTTTGGATCAGTAAAAGATTTGGCTCAACATGACACATGTACTTATCTAGGTGTAATCTTCAGAAAACAATTGTGTCAGTCCCTATGTAGATTATCACAACTGATTTGATGTAATTAATTTATGTTTGTTGAACGGAAAAATTAGTGTCATGATAATAAGTAACAGATTTGTATTAGTTTTAAAATATATCAGGGTAATTAACAGTGGGTGGGATGCTACATCTTGTAAACAATTGGCTTATCTTAATCTCTATCATATTAATCCAAGCTTTTTAGAATCAGATATTGGCTTAAGACTTTCACACCTCTGAAAAATAATGGAATATACAGTGTCACCAATATTCCATATTCCTTGTTCACAGGTGAATTTTCATAATTTGCCCCAAAATAGTGTTCCTTGTTCCCTGTTCAAAGGTTTTCCCTACAGAGAGGGTCCGTTAACATGTAAGTCAATGGAAAAATATTTGGTTCTTTTGAAAAGCATTCCTTGTTCATAGGTTTTCCCTACAGAGAGGTATTCCATCGGACAGGTTTTACTGTATATCTAACATGAAGTTGCTTCAAAACAAAGTCAACCAGTTATTTTATGATAGATCTAATAACACAGAAACAAAATGTAATGGTTCTTTTAACCTACTAGTATTTATCTAAAATCATCAGGCCCGTAGCCAGGGGGGAGGTTTGCAGGGATCAGGCGAACCCACTGGCCCAAAATTCTTTCAAAATCATGCAGTTTTTCACCATTTTGAGCACTTCTCGAGTGATTTTAGCCATATTTGGGCCATAATTGTCAAATGTGAACCCCCCTGGAAATTTTTTAAAACTGAACCCCCCCCCCCTTGGCAAATCTTGGCTATGGTCCTGATCATCATATATAAGATGAGCTGGGTGCTAGTTTTTGAACAATCCTTGTAAGTGGGCTCATTCTTGGCAGAGTTCAATGTAACCGAGTTGGCAAGGTAGCATAACATATCACACAATTATCATGGCTTTACTATCTACTTGGCCTACTGCAAGGAACTACACATGACTACCTGTTGAGAGAGCTTACCTAAAATATGTTGAACGTCTACCATTTTGGCAAAATATCTAGTGATTATTTTGGCGTAACAGTAATTATTCGAGAGAACCACCTCCGGTGAGGTTATCCTTTACAAGAGTTTCATCTATACTCTTTCAATGAAAAACAATGTGATACATTATATATTAATTAACCAATATATAATTTTATTCTATCAAGGTGATTAATAGCTATATTAGACCAAAAACTGTTCACATTGAGAGGTGTCTATTCATACAGGTTTAACTGCAGTGAGAAACAAATATTATGCAAAAAATGATACACAACCTGACAAACAGCATGGTTTTGTGAAATATTAGGTTGATATATTTGATTTTAACAGCCGTAAAATATCTTGTAGGTCAGAATGGCTTTCTAGAATCATCCAAAGCTTGAGATAGAGAACCAGATTCAGGGGTTTCACTAGGATTTCTGATTCGGGCAAAATTATTGGAAATTATAATCTGAACATGGAAAAACTTGCGAAAATCCTTAAAATACCTGGAATTTGGGCAGAAACCAGAGAAAATTGCCTGATACATGCTATTTATGAGACCTCAGAGATGCCAATGAAAAATGAAAAAGTGTTCCCTTAGACTTGAGAGGCAATAAAATGACAGTTCACAATTGTAATACTTTATCCCGTTCCCGGACTATGGTCCTGTGAACATCTCAATCTTTTGCCTGTGCGATTACAACATGGGAGAATTTTTTACTCATCTTACACTTCAGATACCTACTTCAATAGATTCCTTGGTAATTTAGCATTCTTTTCGTGTAGTTGAATCCACAATTGTCTGGGTTTATCGGCAGAACGAAGACATTTTCGTTTTTGATCGCAATATTTGCGTGTAACATTTAACTAATTTCAACCGTCAAATTCCTCCATATTGGTACTTCCGGGCTACATCCGGGACAGCCAAACGGGGGATTCCCCTTTTAAATCCAACCGCCATTTTGGAAAGTGATGGAATCTCTCTCGATGAAAAAGAGAAATGTTCCCGTTCTGCCGATATACCCAGACAATCGGCGGTTCCAATATATTAGAAGTTACATCTTGAGTTCTATAATGCATTGAGGTAGGTATCTTAAGTGTAAGGGGCGTAGATAATTCTCCCAAGTTGTAATCGTACAGGCAAATGAATGCGCTCAGTGCAGGACTATAGTCCGGGAACGGGATAAGTAATACTCATCTTGGAACTTTCCAAAGTGGCAGTTAACTATTTCAACGTAATGTTATAAGAGGATGAATTTGATAGGGGATTTAACCAGATTATATGGATAAACAACCAAACTGAAGTGATTTCTTAATTTTCTTCTAATTATTATGCCATATTATTTACAAATATTTGATTTGATTGATATTCAATTTTCCTATTATTCCCCTGCCTTAAATTCTCCTACATATAAACACTTAGTTATTGGCAATCCCAGCTGTTTTAAAATATATTATACTAATGTACTGAAATTGTGTAGAAAAAACTAGATATTGATTTGAAAATAAAACGCAATATGAATCAAGTGGTTGAACTATTTATATAAGAATAGCAGAATAATCAATGTAATGCCAGACAGGTTTACAAACTACACATATTTCAAGACATACAGAGTCTCTTATAATTAAACATTCTAATCATGTATGTCTTTAGTTTCCAATACAATTTCCCATAGGAAAAATATCATTTTTGTGTCATGATGAAATGATGATCTGTTTTTTTTTTGAGGAAGTAATCATAATATGATTAAGCCTTGTAGGATAATTTTCAAAACCAAATTGTTATTTATTTCCTGTGAAAAATATTTTTGATTCTAACATTCAAACATATAAATATATGAACTATCAAAAAGTATGTGGATTAGCCACCTTGTAGGCAAAATAAGTTTATACACTTTATATATTGTATGTGTTATGAAAAGAATCTTGTAAAATTGCTCTTTTCACGAGAGACTTACATTTTACATCACCAGTGTGTTATGATGATTCATGTACATTGTTTAAGCTACCTTTTAGTTAACCATTCTGAAGGTAGAACATACCAAAAATGTGAGCCTTAAGTACTTATGTGGTACTTAAATTGTTTACTTCCAAGTACAGGAAATCTAAAACATGTTAATTGTGGTAAAGAACATAAGAGAAGCAACTTTCCTTGGAGATTATAACCCTTCATCTTGATTAAATGTACTGTATACTTCACAAAATTTTCTTATAAAATTAAAAGTGCCGATTCAGCATTTAGCAGTAATGAATGTTATTGAAAACTGCATAAACATAACAGTGTATGGAAGATTTTCATCAGGAGGATAAATGTTTTTTAAACATCCAGTTTAAGGGCAGACTCTTAAGAGTGAAACATCTGGGATCTGATTTACCAAACATCTTGTAACCTTTAATGCCACATAGTCTTGTCTGTGCAAGATCAGCCAACAACTTCAAGGATACTCTTTCCTAAATTCCCTTTTTTAATATAATCACATATTTTCTTGTACTGCCACCATAAAAGAAGAGACATAAAAGAAGAGACAGTATTTCAAACCATTTTCATTCTTCACATTCAGCATTATACTACTTTAACTACGTGTTATGTTGTGCAATTTCATATACAGGGTGGTCCAAAAAAAGTGAACCCCTGCAACTGGTCATATTTCCCTTAATACTTGCAGGAATTTTTTTTTATTTTCACATGTTGTAGAGGAAGGTCTAAAATTTATGGTGGTACCATACATTTTTCTTAGTCTTAAAATTTGCAGAAATTATAAGCCCTAACCAAACATTACTGAAAATGGACAAATTGTGATTTTCAATATCCGCGATTCTTCAACCCTTTAACACCTTTCCCCTGAGAATTTTTTAAGCTGC